CATCCATATGTCCACGTGCTGTTGGTGTCAACCCGTTGTAAAAGTGTTGAAGAATGAGCCATTCTTCCATCCCATGGTGTGGGCAGGCTGATGTGTATTCTTGGAGCCTTTCCCATGCCTCGGGTATGGATTCATTTGTTGCTTGCTAGAAGCTTGCAATTCTTCCACGAAGGGCATTGGTTTTGCCTATCGGGAAGAACTTAGCGAGGAACGCCGTAGAACATTTGTCCCAAGTGTCAATATTGGTGCGGTTTGCATAGAACCATTGTTTCGCTTTCCCAAGGAGGGAGAGCGGAAACAAACGGAGCTTGATGGCATCTTGATTGCCTTCTCCCGTGCCTGACGTGTTGCATATTTCTAGGAACTGTTGGAGATGAGAGTTGGCGTCCTCGGAAGCCTTCCCACAAAAGGGTATGGCTTGCACCATCGTGATGAGGCTGGACCTTATGTTAAGTCCGGCGTCACCAACGTCGACGTTGGGTCCAATGGGCACATTGGCGACGGTGGGCGCGGAGTATTCACGAAGGGTCTTTTCAGCCATGACGTTTGACGTAGATGGTGCGGAAGATGCGGGTTCGCTTGTCGAGAGTACTTGAGGGGAGACGACGACGCGGTGTCGAGTCTTCCTCACAAGTGACTCGGGATTATCAACGAAGTTTTTCGGCAAGTCGAATCCACGCATACACTATCCTGTTTTCACATCAAAGAGAAAACAGATCAAGGTTAGCCTGCATGGGCAATGGTTAAACCACATCAAGTGTAATCATGAACAATCATTGTATTCTTGTTAACCAATGTCTTCCCCGGCAACGGCGCCAGAAATGCTTGTTGGCGTCTCTTACGGTCACGCGGGAAACACGCGACCGCGGGGAGACGCCGGGGGTTATGGAATTGTTCACTTGCACTATTTAACCAAATAATCCACAACTAGTAACAAGTACTAGATATGAATTATAAGGTTTGTCATGTTAAATAGAATATCCGCAAGCGTACGGATAACCCGTTGTAGCATTTCACCCGAGAGTATTCCAGGGTATCGTATTTATATTTTCCCAAAGGAAGACATGGTTGACAAGAGTACTTATGTTCATGGTGTACAAACGATAAGTGATATAACCACATTCCAATGCAGGGGTAAGGTTTAATAATAAAGAGGATAGTGTGACACACACGAAGGCATTCCACTCTCTCTAATAAAAGGCGAGAGACAATCCTAATCAATGCTAAGTTAGACTAGCGAGCTACTACTCCAAAGGTACAACATTCATATAGAGTGCACAACCTCTACCTATCATCTAGCGTCATGCAAGCACAAGCAAGCGTCTAATGCCTAGGCAACATCGGGAGATCCGGCATACGCAAGGTCTGCCTCGCGACTCCGGCCTATTTACGTACTCCTATGCCGTGCCCGAACGTGGAGGGTTCCTTTGGATGGACAGGGCTGTCACTTCCTGCCACCTACCTCTACAAACCGTGGGACACGCACACACCCAAGGGTGGATAGACTACCCCGACACCATGTCGGCGTTACTAACCACGACTCTAGATCCCTCGAGGCACCCCCAACCCTTCGGATCGACGGGGTGATAAATCTAGAGCACCTTTGCAGGACAATGAGCCCGATGCCTAAACATGAGAACATCTGGCCTAACTAGCATAAACTAGATAAAAGGAATCAAAGCTAGCACTAAGTCATGCATAAGCGTTCGTCGCTCAAGAACGAGCGACGAACGATGAACGATTAAGCGAGTTCAAGAATAATCGATGATCGAGTATGAACGAACGAAGAACGAACGATGAACGAGCATGAACGAACAACGAACGATCATACAAGATCATGATAGAACTAGCAAGCTCATAACAACTATATGAATACTTGTATTCCATAGATTAAATAACAAGTCTTACAAAGAGAGAGAAAGGATACAAGAGCACTACCCAATTCTCCACAAGACTTTGGGAGCAATAGGGCAGCCCACTACTCAGCCTAGCACTACCTAGAATTGCCTCTAACTCTAGTGTGAGGAGGAGGGAATGATCCTTGTGTATTGTGTGTCTTGGAAGGAGGGGGGGTACCCCTCCTTATATAGGCTTTGAAGGTCGGTAACTTTGGGGCGGTTCCCGAGGTCGGTGGTATTTAATGCAGGGGGAACCGACCTCCAGAGGTCGGTTACAAACCGCCATAGAAAGATGAGCCCAGGGGGCCACCCTGCCAGGTCGGCCGACCTGGCCAGGGGGGGGGGGGGGGGGTCGGCCGACCTGTGCCTGGCCCCTCCTGGGCTGGGCTTTGGCAGGTGGCTCCCCCTCTGGGTCCACTTCTCTGGTCCAGGTGCATTTGGCCTTAGTTGTGTTGGACTTTGACGAGATTTGGCCTTTTGTCTTGGAGTTGTATTCCCGCGGCGAACGTTGTTTTGTAGAAGTGTTGATTCGTCGCCTTGGGGCATGAGTTCACCTGGATTTCTCCCTTATTCCACCTGCACACTAAAATTTAGAGGTACATGTGGAACTAGGTTATTCTTAAATAAAGTGCATGTAAAGAGTGTCCAATCCTTCTTGTTTATTGAGCTAGTTGACGGTCGAAATTGGTCCGTAACGACCGTCAACACGCTCCAGCTCCACGCGCCGCGCCTCATCCTGGCTTTCTCGCTCGTTTCTCCCCTCTCCCCACCAAGCTCTAATTCGGCTGATTCTGCATCAATTCTACTGACTCGTAGGAAAGGAAGTGGCCAAGGAGCACTCGAATGGGTGGATTTGGTCAAAAATGGGTCAGAAACGACAGGATTTGGTGACCATGGTGCTTCCGTTCGGGCTGCATCTAGCGGCGTTCAAGCTCATAGAAAAAATAAAGGGAGAGCGAACCTTTAAGGAAAGAAAGAATAGAGAGCTGCAGGAGAGGAACGGCGTGTGGCGCTGCTGGGTCAGGGGAGCGCGCGTCTGGGCACGGCGCACGCCGCCGGGGCGTCGCTGACTCGCGGGCGCGCGCATAGAGCGGGTGGTGGGGTGGGAGAGGAGGACGATGGGCTATTGAGTTGCAGCCACTTTTGGAGACGGTCCGACGAGAATTAAAAGCAAAGCACTGCTCCTGCTATACAAAAGTCCATTTGCATCTCTAAATTGGCTCTCCTTGTTGGAGTCAGCCTTAAAACGTTGACTTAGCTAGAACCACGAGTGCATAAAGACATACAACAGGTATGAATAAATGAAGTTGAGGAATGAGTACTCTGTAAGTACTCTCAAGATCACTAGAATATTCTTTCAGATAGCAAAAAAAAAAAAGAAGAATTCAGGTGTTTTTACATTTAATAAAATGGAAAACTCATTGTAAAGTCCGCAGTAAGGCTCTTAAACAGCCTTCAAAGAGAATAACCGTTGGTGACTACCCGCTGCTTTTATCACCACGCCATCGCTAACTCTTTCATTGCATCTAGATTAACGCATTCAATAAAAATGCAACATTTGTGTCTAAATCTGAGGCTTGAATCCGAGTGGGTTGATTCCAACAAAAAAAAACTTAACGAGCTAAGCTATAGCCATCATGTTAAGATACCTAGTAAGCGTGAAAGAGGTCTTGGCTTAGCGGTTAAGGCACCCGAGTAGCACTTTTGAGGTCCTGGGTTCGACTCCCTGTGGGAGCGAATTTTCTAGGATTTAACGGCGTTGTGCTTTCAGCGGTAGGCGACGTGGTCGTCGACAGCGAGGCGTCAGTGGTGACTTCGTTAATATAGAGGATTTGCCGGCTCAGTCTTCGAAGATGCTCATAGGAGTAGGGTTTGCGTATGTGCGTTCATAGGGTGAGTGTGCGTGCGTTGAGTGTTTGAGTTGTGCTGTGTAATAAAAAAAAATACCTAGTAAGCTTGGTTGTTTTGGTAGTCATCATAATTCTTTTGTTCGACTTCACAAAGTATTCTTTTGATTCCTTTCTGTTTTATTTTTTTTAACACGCAAAAATTTTGTAAGTGCTAAGAAGCACTTCGAGCAACCCCCTCAAGCAACATACGCACTGGAAGATTGGCCAATACTAACACATGACTGACTTGCTGATACGATGAAGCGGTGGTGTGCTCTAAACTGCAAAAATCTATACCCTTAAATAACCAGTTGGGAAAAATACACTTTTCACCTGCCAGAATCTACCCCACCTATGTATCTACCGTTGATTTACATCCTCACCCTTTGAATCTACCGTCAAAACCTGCCAAACATGACCCCACCGTATCAAAGGGGACGTTACTTCATCATTCCTATGCCAGAATTCCTGACATTGTTAAAACTTTTATCACCCAACGATTTTCAGACACCCCACCCCCCCCCCCCCCCCCCACCACCGAGATTTCCCACTCCCTTGATTACCGGTTAGGAATATTGCTTTCCTTTTTTTTATGAAATCGCCTTCCATTGGCAGCAAGGGAGGTTCGGCTCCCACCGCGCACGATGGTTGCTTTCCTTTTCTGATGATCGACCGCGCACACAGGTGTAGTCCTGAATCCTTTCACTGTTTTGTTGATGTTTGTCCAGCCGGAGCTGAAGGAGAAGGTCGGGCTCCCGCCGCCGTCCTACGCACCAGAGGGCTCGGCAGTCGGCAGCCGTGTTGGAGGGGAGCGCGTCCATGGTGAGTCCGACTGAACCGCGTCTTCGTCGTCCCCTCGCCTCCCGTCAATCACATCCCAATTTCGCGCCATCGAATGGCAGTTTCCTTCCTCTTCCTTTATTTACTTCCGTTCCTCTTCTTGATTTGGCCAGATTTGAAGCGCGAGAAATATCTTGGCGACGGGGGCCGTTCGGGGCGGAGGCTGCAGGAGACGCCGCCGATGGGGACGACAAGGCGAAGAGGAAGTAGGCGGCGCTTGCATCCAGCAGCTCTCGGTCCGGGATTCAAGCCCTCCATGCTGTCCCAGGAGGTGACATTCGTCTCGCCACGGTGCATTTCCTTGATTTGTTCCTCAATCTTGCTGGCTCGGATCCGGATCAAGGTAGCCTTCCACACCTTGGCGTCCTCCATATTTTAGATTAGTATATGCCCCATGTGGACTCGAGAGGTTGATGGTTTCAATTTTCTCTGGAATCATTCTTGAAGTGTGATTGATTGGTACAGCATTTTCATCTACCGTTGAATGTGCTGCCGGTGGTAGTACCTTTCGCCGATTCAACGGCGTCCTTTGCCAGGTTGGAAGTGATATAAGGGATTGATGGCCGACGCTTTAGCATGACTCTGCGATCTTCCATCTCATCTGGACCTCCAGGTTATTGCCCTCTGATTTTGTTTTGGTTGGTTCTGTGCCACGATAGATTAGTTAGTGTATTGTTTTACCTCCATCTGCTGTGGGATAGGTTATTAGCCTGACTTGGTTTCCTATTTTGCGGTTGAGACGGCGGCGGCGGACTGGAGCAGCAAGATACATCACCCTTTTTGCGTGCCGCATGTATTTTGTCTGGTGGATTGATCATTGATTTCCCCAAATCTACAATATATTGTGCCTATTTTAGTATCTACAATATATATGATTCCACATGCACGAACCAGCATGCCTCTCTCTCATATTCACGACAGGCCCCATCTTCTATTGTAATTTTTTTTCTTGGAGTATGCAGATCTGGAGAGTTGATTTCGGAATTCAGTGGCATCTGCGGTCTGCAAGCACGCTGTGTAGCCGTGTAGGTAGCATCACGATCTTTTTCTTTTTCTTTTCCAACAACCACTGAACCACGAGATCCCTTTTTTTTTCTGAAGAATTTGGTAGTGATCTTCAGATATGAAATGACTGTATTATGATTGTTCACTATTATTGGTATGAATATTCTGGGTAAATTATGGTTATCTGTAATCTTTTTTCAGATGTTTAATTTTGGTTGATTTCCTACGAGTTTAAATAAATGAATGAATACATGTTACATGTTTTTAACCAACAAATATGTATTATAATTTTCCCAACAATCTGTTGCAATGGCAATATGTTCTTGCTGGGAGATCTGTAGCTAAATTTTTCCTGTGTTCCCTTGTTACAATCTGCCTAAATTGACAGTTTTTGCCACTGCATTCTTGATGAATGATCATGTTGTTCTCATGTTTTTATTTAATTGTTTGCCACTGGTATATGTGCTTTTGGCAATCCATATGCTGTATCAAAAGTTGTAAACTTTTAACCTCATTAACAGAATGATGTTGATTTTGGTCGATTGGGGTGCCATTTGGCCTTTTTTTTCCCCTCTTTTGATTTACAACATATAAACGTATAGTAGCATTTTTTTCTTAGGAATGACCTTTCACCACATGTTGTACCCTACTTTCATAGTGACACAACTGCTGACATAATTTTCCAAGCATGCGAGGCATCTATTACGTCAATGTGTATTAAGGCAATGTCAATAAAAGTAATTGAGGTTTACTAGAATATCAGTTATACATTTGATTAGAAATAGATAGAGATTTATCAATTTTCTAGAGCTCATGGGCAATCTGTTTGTTTCTAAATCAGGGGACCTACTGTCAGTTGGCATGGTTAAATAACTGATGCAGGTTCCAGGAGTTAGAAGCTGATGATGCCATATGTTTTTTTTTTCAGTTATCCTATTCATAAACTATTCGGAACATAATATGAACATAACACAGAAGATATCGTCTTATATACACTTGTCCTTTTCTATTACTTTTTTTCAATAAAATGCATGTATATTTTCTGAAGGTACAGATAGTCTCCTAATAAATAAGAGGAGATGCAACATAAAGCAGTTCACTCAGAAGCTACTGTGTAGAGTAGTTTGTGTTTATACTATTTTTTGTTGATCTTGTTCGTGCATTACAGAGAATCATGTCAATGAAGAGGATCTGGAACCTGAAGGCAAAAAGCGTGATTGTGTTTATACTATTTTTTTTTATCTTGTTCGTGCATCAGCATCACTGAGAATCATGTCAATGAAGCGTGGCAACTGACAACCAGGCCGTTTGTTCATTCATTACAAAGTAAGTGGAATTGGTTGCAAGTATGCTTAATTGTAGGAAATGTGTCAGTTCATTTAGATTTCTCATGGAAAATTTCATGGGATAGAATATGTAACCATTTTGACTGACTGTGGGTGAAAACTAGATGTTTGTGCATATATTTTATTCCATAAATAATTAATTGTAGGTGTTCTCGTAGGTGAAAACTTCATGTTTGTGCAGATGTTTTCCTCCGTAAAACTTAACAAGAACACCATCAATTGCGTTTTAACTGACTGTCGGTGAAAACTTCTTGTTTGTGCAGATGTTTAGGCCTTCATTTTTTATGACTGTAGGTGAACTTTGATCTTGCTCTGTATACATGCACACACTGGGAAGTCTCCGTGCTGGGATTTTATTAGTTTTCTGACTTAAACTTCTTTTGCCGGTGATTAATTCGGATACAATGTTCAGGGCATTACGCACAGATTTGATTTTTCGTGCCTCATCCAATATAATTTTGTTTGAATTTGCTAATGTGTCTTGTTCATGGACTTCAGGAACAAATTATATGTACTTCTGATGCGATGTTACTTTTATCTGCTAAGCTTTTATTTACTTTCTATTCTTGCAGATTTCAGGCATGTCAGACCCCAAAGCTTATCGGATTTTTTAGTGTGATAAAGGATCTGAGGACCATGCATGACCTGAGCAAACAACGTAAGAGTATGTTCACAAATTTTGAACTGCATTTGCAAGTTTAATTTTGGTCCTTCACTATCCTTTAACATTCCATCTTCAATTTACCTTGTGAAAGCTCCTCCAACTACCTTTTCCAGCAGCTACAACGACCTGATTCATTCACTTCTGCTTCTTGATTAATGCTGCCTGCTATTGTTGGGACTTGGGAGTTTGGGAGATGCAAGTTGTGGCTGTTGACATGGTGTCTTGATAAACCGGTCAGATTTTAGGTTCATGAATTGGCTTGCTTCCTTCTTCCATTATTGTTATTTTTGTATTTTCTCGTAGAAAAACCAATATTAATACTACATGCTAATAATGATGTTAGGCTTTTTCTCCTGAATTTCTACAAAATATTATTTGTCAGGTTCAGGTGATATGTGAAAACAATCAACATTGGGCTACGATTACAATATCTTTAAAGTGTTGGTGTCGTGTATAAGACTCATTTTTTCCTTAATCTATTAATCAGGTTGTGATATTGTAAGTGTTCCATTCCTCGTCTAACAAGAATTTATCTGCATTACACAGATGTGATGCTGGATGCTGGGATGGGTGTACAGGAGCGTTCAAAAGTGACAGAAAACAAAGAGAAATTGAAGATAACTACTTGAGGACGACTACCTGAAAAAGTATTTGTTTTCTTATCAAAGAGACACCCCTTTCTTATGTAATTTCTAATCTAAAACCTGTCAGTATTCTAAAAATTTGAGTGTGAATATTGTGAAGTGGCTTGTCAGTAATTTACTATTTTTTGTCCCTTAAGTCTTACATAAGAGTCATTATACTTTGGTTCTTGTGATGGACATGAAATTTATATGGCATCCATAGCATTATTAGTTCCATATAAGGAATTGTGCAAGGTGCATTTGGTACTAAACAGTAATGCCATATAGTGTTGATCCTTTGAATAATTTTATTCTTTAACTCCGATCATAATTTTTAAAATAGTATGAGATTACATAGTGTTAGAGCGCC